GTGGACTAGAGCTGAACTAGAACAGAATTAGAACTAGAACAGAACTGAAAAGAACTAGGACAGCACTAGAACTGAACTGATCTAGAACGAAACTAGAACTGAACTAGTAGCTGACAAAAACTATACCGTCCGAATCCCCTTATAGTACGTTTCTCAGATCCATAGAATTTATATAAGATTGGCTTTTCTGACTTTTGGAACCACTGATTTTCAAACACAACCAAACCGAACTATAAAACTTGATGTGGCGTCGTCAATTTTGTTATTCGCAAAATTAGTATCTTTGTTGTTTTCTGTTTTACTCAGAATTTGCAAATTCTCTTTTCGTATATATTTTCGTTTACCTTTTGGTCAGCACTTATCATTTGTTTTGCTGCTGTTGTTCTTGTTGTTGTTGATGTTATGAATAACAATAAAAAACAAAATTACAAAAACAAAGCTAAAGCTCATTGTCATCGGTAAAAAAAACTTCTTTCTACTTTTTTTTCAACGAAAGCTGACTAAAGCATAAATTTTTAAAGAGTACGAAAAAATGTGTTTTTTCATCTGGTCTTAAAGTTGTAGTGTTGGTTTAGTACGAAATGTTGGTAAAGTACATTCTTTGGATACTAAACATCGGGTACTTTTGAGTAATGTAACGGGTGTTACAAAATTTATTCAGAAATTGAAGTTAGACTTTTTGTTCAGGTTAATTTGAACTAGACTATAGACTAGACTATAGACTAGACTATAGACTAGACTAGACTAGACTATAGACTAGACATGACTAGACTATCGACTAGACTATAGGCTAGACTATAGACTAGACTATAGGTCTAGACTAGACAATAGACTAGACTATAGACTAGGACTATAGACTAGACTATAGGACTAGACTATAGACTAGACTATAGACTAGACTATAGACTAGACTATAGACTAGACTATAGACTAGACTATAGACTAGACTATAGACTAGGACTATAGACTAGACATAGACTAGACTATAGACTAGACTATAGACTAGACTATAGACTAGACTATAGACTAGACTATAGACTGACTATAGACTAGACTATAGACTAGATAATAGACTAGACTATAGACTAGGACTATAGACTAGACTATAGACTAGACTATAGACTAGACTATAGACTAGACTAATAGACTATAGACAGATATAGACTAGACTATAGACTAGACTATAGACTAGACTATAGACTAGACTATAGACTAGACTATAGACTAGACTATAGACTAGACTATAGACTAGACTATAGACTAGACTATAGACTAGACTATAGACTAGACTATAGACTAGACTATAGACTAGACTATAGACTAGACTATAGACTAGACTATAGACTAGACTATAGACTAGACTATAGACTAGACTATAGACTAGACTATAGACTAGACTATAGACTAGACTATAGACTAGACTATAGACTAGACTATAGACTAGACTATAGACTAGACTATAGACTAGACTATAGACTAGACTATAGACGAGACGATAGACTAGACTATAGACTAGAACTATAGACTAGACTATAGACTAGACTATAGACTAGACTATAGACTAGACTATAGACTAGACTATAGACTAGACTATAGACTAGACTATAGACTAGACTATAGACTAGACATAGACAGAGACTAGACTATAGACTAGACTATAGACTAGACTATAGACTAGACTATAGACTAGACTATAGACTAGACTATAGACTAGACTATAGACTAGACTAGACTAGACTATAGACTAGACTATAGACTAGACTAAGACTAGAATATATATTAGACTATAGAACAGAACTAGAACAGAGCTAGAACAGATCAATAACAGAACTAGAACAAACTGGAACTGAACTAGATCTGAATTAGAACTGAATTAGAACTGAACTAGAACTGAACTAGAACTGAACTAAAACTGACTAGAACTGAACTAGAACTGAACTAGAACTGAACTAGAACTGAACTAGAACTGAACTAGAACTGAACTAGAACTGAACTAGAACTGAACTAGAACTGAACTAGAACTGAACTAGAACTGAACTAGAACTGAACTAGAACTGAACTAGAACTGAACTAGAACTGAACTAGAACTGACTAAACGGAACTAGAACTGAACTAGAACTGAACTAGAACTGAATAACTGAACTAAAACTGACTAGAACTGACTAAAACTGAACTAGAACTGAACTAGAACTGAACTAGAACTGAACTAGAACTGAACTAGAACTGAACTAGAACTGAACTAGAACTAACTAGAACTGAACTAGAACTGAACTAGAACTGAACTAGAACTGAACTAGAACTGAACTAGAACTGAACTAGAACTAGAACTGAACTAGAACTGAACTAGAACTGAACTAGAACTGAACTAGAACTGAACTAGAACTGAACTAGAACTGAACTAGAACTGAACTAGAACTGAACTAGAACTGAACTAGAACTGAACTAGAACTGAACTAGAACTGAACTAGAACTGAACTAGAACTGAACTAGAACTGAACTAGAACTGAACTAGAACTAACTAGAACTGAACTAGAACTGAACTAGAACTGAACTATAACTGAACTAGAACTGAACTAGAACTGAACTAGAACTGAACTAGAACTGAACTAGAACTGAACTAGAACTGAACTAGAACTGAACTAGAACTGAACTAGAACTGAACTAGAACTGAACTAGAACTGAACTAGAACTGAACTAGAACTGAACTAGAACTGAACTAGAACTGAACTAGAACTGAACTAGAACTGAACTAGAACTGAACTAGAACTGAAACTAGAACTGAACTAGAACTGAACTAGAACTGAACTAGAACTGAACTAGAACTGAACTAGAACTGAACTAGAACTGAACTAGAATGAACTAGAACTGAACTAAGAACTGAACTAGAACTGAACTAGAACTGAACTAGAACTGAACTAGAACTGAACTAGAACTGAACTAGAACTGAACTAGAATCTGAACTAGAACTGAACTAGAACTGAACTAGAACTGAACTAGAACTGAAACTAGAACTGAACAAATGAACGGACTAGAACTGAAACTAGAACTGAACTAGAACTGAACTAGAACTGAACTAGAACTGAACTAGAATCTGAACTAGAACTGAACTTAGAACTGAATCTAGGAACTGAACTAGAACTGAACTAGAACTGAGAACTAGAAATGAATAGAACTGAACTAGAACTGTACTAGAACTGTTACTAGAGCTGAACTAGAACTGAAGCAAAGCTGGAATAAAACTGTGCAAAATCAATTAAATTGCCTCCAAAAAAGTTTCTAAAATTCATATAAGAAATTCTTAATAGAGTTATAAAATAGGCTTTGAATGTGATCAGAGATCTTCGATATTAAACACTTTCGATTTGTTTATGAATTTTGAGATTTTTTTTTCTAGAATTTGATGTGAAAAAAACATTCCTCGTATTTTAAATATAATATTTATTTATTAAAAAAAAATTCAAAAGAAAAACTTTACACAAGGTACTTAATGACTATGTATGTTTAATTACTAATATTTGGGATAATTAAATGGGGGGTAAACAACTTTGGCGATTCATATTCATTTTATGTTTTGATCTTTTCTTTTCAAAAAATTTGTATACAATAATAATATTAAAAATAAAGAAGATTCGTTTAAATATTTACATAGAATTTGTTGTGTTGTTGATTTAGTAGCAAAAGAGAATATTTGAAATAAGTTTTTTGTTTGAGTTTTACAAATTTAAATTTTATAATAATTTTAAATACCAATAATAATTATAAATAGACTCTTAAGATTGTTTATAACTATAAATACAAGATATGTGTTGTTTTTTTTTTGTTGTTTTGTATATATTTTGTATTTGTTAATAAATGTACGTATTAATTAATGTTTTTGTATGTGTTATAAATATGGCCTAATTTAGTTGCTAATATCACAAGGAGATCGTTTTATAAAATAAAATTAAATGTTAATTTACTAAAATTAACAAAAATTTAACTTAAAACAAAAATGCTAAATTAACTTAAAAAAACAGACTTAGGAAACCTAATGAGTTTTAAAAGTAATATTATTTTTTCTCAATTTAATTAAAGGCACATTTGTTTTGAGCATTTGAAACAGAAGGAAAACTTAAGATTAAAAAAATTAAAAAAATAATCTCAATTTTATATAAAAACTAATTTATTGGCACCAAGAATTCACTTGATCATGTATAAAAAATAATGTGGTTTTATTATGTTAAAACATAAAAGAAATTTACAATTGAAAGGAAACAATTATTTAAGGGGATTAAGATTAATAAGCCTAAAATTAGGCAACGAAATTTATTTAAAACGGAAGCCTAAAAGTAGTCTTTACTTTCTGTAGTTTGAATGTTCAATACCTACTTAAATTTGCTTACTAGACTATAGAGTAGTGTACAGATTAGACTTTAGATTATAGAATAGACTATAGACTAGCCTAAGAACTAGGTTAAAGACTAGACTATACTCTGAACTATAGACTAGAGTATAGACCATTGTATAGTCTAGACTATATACTATACTGTAGACTAGACTAACGACTGGACTAGACTAGACTAGACTAGGCTAAATGCTAGTCTATACACTAGAGTATAGACTAGACTATAGACTAGTCTACAGACTAAATACTAGACTAGACTATAGACTAGGCTGAAGACTAGTCTAGAGTATAGACTAGAATATAGACTAGACTTTAGACTATAGTATAGACTGGAGTATAGACTAGACTATTGCCTAGACTATAGACTAGATCATAGAATAAGCTAGACTATAAACTACACTATAGACTAGACTATTAACTGAAGTATAGACTAAACTATAGACTAGACTGTAGCCTACATTATAGACTAGACTATGGGCTAGACTATGGCCTGGACTGTATACTATAAACTAGTCTATAGACTTTATTTAAAACGGAAGCGTAAAGCAATGCCTAATTTCTTTAAACCCCTTAAATTATCTTTCCCTTCTTTAATTTAAATTTGTTTTATAAGAGAAAAGTCTCTTCTTAATGAGTCTGTGCTATTCGAGACCATAATGTCTTTAATGACTTTCTTCATTTTCTTCATAAACTATCTAATTTTCATTCTTATCATTTCTAAAACTATAAAATCCAAATTTTCCTAAATATCAAACTTATAATAATGTTTAGCAATATCGTCGTAGATAGATTTCTCAAAGAAAATCTTCTATTTGCATGACTTTCAACATTAGCCTCCAGCATATTGGATACTGTTAGGCCTGATAATATTAGATTTGTGGTTATTTTATGTTCTTGGGCCGCTATTAAAGTGGATATCTTTTCCGCTTCTCTGCTGCAGGCCTCAATTTGCATGCGAGTGGGTGTATTGGTGCGGGGTACAATAGCCACAAATATACCCACTTCCATGGTTAGGAATCCGGTCAGTTGACACTCGCTTATTTGTATTAAAGAATCCAATTCTCGTAAAACACTATGTAGAGTTAATAAATCCTTGTGCTGGCCCTTTAAGGCGTAAAGAGCGCGATCAATTTGTTTGCGTGAGTAGATAATGCGAAAAGCTCCGGCGCATATGGGGCAACAGGCTCCGGGTGGTATAATAGAAGGGCAGTAGGGTGAGGGAGTATTGGAACATTTGACTTGGCGACATCTTTTGCGTTCCATTTCATTAGTTAACAAGCCTACCTCACGACATCTGCCCTTATAGTCCACCAAAACATAATCTGCCCAGGCAGCACATTCATGGGGATAATCCACACCATTAATACCGCACACGGGACCTTTCCAACTGCAGCCACGATTACAAGAACCCCAATGGGAGAAACTAGACTTGGAATTCAATAAATCACAAGCCGATTTAAAGGTAACACCCTTAGCATCGCATACCGAATGCTCCGATTTGCCACAAGGTAACGTTTGATTAACTGCAAATGAAATTCAAACATTAACATCCACAAGTTCCATAATTTTTAAGCATTACATACCACATTTGTACTGTAAACAGGGCCGATGCATGCTGGATAAGCAGATCTGTCTATGAGGCAGACATTGGGTGCCTGCAGGGCAGTGATAGGTTCCTGGTGTACAAGGATTCCACACCGTACAGGCTCCATACTCTAAATCACTGTCCTGCACACCCAGACAGCGGGCAATACACAAAGAAGGATAAGTGCGTCCATTGCTGCCACATACCGGCACATAATGGGTAGGACAATTGCAGGGCAAACTGGTATAAGAAACATCTGTGTAACCTGTTGTAATAGGAGTAAATATAAATTAAAGTTTACTTCAAATAGCTTCCTCCCTTAAAGCTCTACTCACCTGGCATTTTACATTGTTTCTTGGTGCAGGTTATTTCCTCGGCATAACAAGTACATAAATTGCACTCCAAATAAAAGGAAGTGCCATGCTTGATCTTTCTACCACCCGGTAGAACACAACTCTCATACGAAACACTGGGTAGAGGTTGACAATGTTCGATACGTCCCTGTAAACCGCAACGACAAACCTTAAAACCACCACGATTGGCTGTCATTTGTACTGGAATGCGAACATAAGCACCAAAAGGAACTAAATAATTAGAAGTCTCTCCCAAAGCACAACCCGGTATACATTTATAGGTGGCCGAACCATTGCGAGCTGCTAAACAAACTTCACTAGCATTACAGGGATGACCACGACAAGGAGAGGTGATTTTATGATGGCCACCAGTCTCCTTAGGAGCATCACTTTCTTCCAAATAAGGTCTCAGCGATACACAGGAGGTGACATCACCATCTGGATGCAATCTAGCACAAATCGCTTCCGGATTGTAAGTGGTATTTAAACGTGTCCAATCCAAGCACTCCATTAAAATTTCATAACAATTTTCCCTACAAATATGATTATAATGTCCCTGTATACTACAGGGTTTAATTTGTAAAACACAAGCTATAGCCTTCCACTTGTCGGGTAAACATCTAGTCATATTCTTAATGGGCAAGGTTAAGCCTCCTGGTAAACTAACAAAACCCCTCTGTTGCCACATCATTAAATCTGATTTAGCAGCCATGTCGGCTTCCACCGTACAGCTGCGAAACAATTCCGTGGGACGATTATTGAAATTTGTACAAAAACTTAAACCATCACAACCCAATTCACACGGTTCATCCACCTCATCTATACACTGGCGCAATTCCAATTCATTTGGCATCATCATTAAACAGGATGTTTCAAAATTATTCATTGTACTAGTCCAATCAGTAGTATAGGTTTGAAAACATAATTTACGGCATTTGGATGATAAAGCCTTCTCACAGCATTGCAATTTGGCACCATCTATACCTAAACGATTAATTTGTGATACCTCGGTCTCTTGGCTACTTGTTATAACAGAGGGCACAAAAATTTTGCGCTCGGCAGTGAAGAAACATTGCCATAAAGGTAGATGAGGTAATACAGTACCACAACCTCCTGCCTCCAGTTCTCCTATAATAATATCCGTACTTTCAGTGGTATTCAAGACGGATCGGCAAGTGTTGCGACAATTTTCATTATCGGAAAAGTCACAACAAGGAAGATCTGTGGGGAGATAAGTAGATAATTAAGATTTGCTGGAATTTTGATATAAAAAACACTTACATTTGTGTGAGTTGGTAACGGGTGTCATGTCCGTAACATTTCGTACACATTGTAGAACATCGGCATTCTTTTCTCCACACATTTCATGCAAACGTTTGTAGTTATTCCTTTTATGGGCTGTATGAGGTTCAAAGATGTCACGACAGGACTGGAAGATAAAAGAAGAAAGTATACATGATTATCAAATTAAAATTCGATGGGAGACGAACTCTCCTATTCTTAGTGGATGCAAGATATTTATAGATTACTCTAAAAAAAGTCCATTGGAAAGAGTTTTTGACAATTGCTTTATATATTGGATTTCCTCGTCTTGGTTCGGGTTCTGTAAAAGTTCTGAAATTGCTTTGGAACACTAATGCTGAAGGATTAAAGAATTTACATTTTGGATATTGCATTCCAGTTGTCCTTTATATTGGATTTGGTATCCCCGAGAATACACTCTTTTTAGACTGGGTATTGTAAAATATTGTATTAACATTTCCATGACATTTGGATCTTTTCTACGAATCTACGCAAGTCTCTACAACTCAGATTGATCAATAAAACCATCAGAATTCTTTACAAAATACTGATGTTTTTCATCGTACTGTTCCCATGGCAATTGGGTCATTGATTTCGCAACTAAAGCGCCTGATTCTTAAATGATCGATAAAAATAATCTCCTATCTAGGTAGTGTCTTTTTAATCCTTTCCTTCCGATAACCTTAAGTTTGATAGGAATCCAAAGGGATATTAAATGGAGTTATTGTATTCCGATTTCATCATTTTGTAACTACGTCTCAGCAACTCTGATCTATAAAACATCGAGAAATTCCAGTAGAGTACTGATAATCATCACCCTACAACCTGATGAGAGTCTGTGTATGATGGTTAGGATCTAAGCCTTTGCAATAACAATGCCTGAAGTGTTTTTCTTTCCAGTAATCAATGATAGTGTGGCCAGAAAGTTCCACAGACAATCGTGTCTTTCCAATTTCCTTTCTCCGATAACTTTAAGTTAGATAAGCTTCCAAAAGACTCTTGAAATTAAGTTGTCGTATTACTATTTGACAGTGCCCTCTGTATTTAAACCCTTATTTCCAATCTTTGATCTAAACGTTGAGAAAACATAGTAGAGCACTGATCTTCATCATCCTACAATCCTGTTAGAGAATGTGGATGAGTTGAACAATTGACGTTACCAAGAAGTGTTTGATTAAGAGTAATTAATGATGAATAGAAAGTATCACCGTGTCTTCTCAATTTTATACCTCCGGTAACCTAAAGTCTAGTGGTTATTCGGCCCGCAAGGTTTAGAGTCTCATAAACACTAATGATTCAGAAGTAAAGCTGAAGCAATGATCATCATCATACGATTATGATGACAGTTTTGTTAATTCTAATTCATAGATCATTTGAAGTTCTTATGACAACTGAGTCTGAGCCTTGGCAACAACAATACCTGATATCTAACTAAGTGTCTGTTTTAAAGAGACCCTAGTCTCGTAAACATTGACATATATTTTACGATCATGATGTCAGTCTTGCTAATGCTAAAGCATCGAACACATTCTCAGTCTTGAGTCTCTTGAGTCTGAGCATTGACAACAACAACACCTGATATCTAAGTGACCTATAAAGAAAAGTGAATTGTTTTTCTGAGGATTTTATATGAGAGAGTTTTAGGGATTTCTTGACCTCGTAGTTTCAACTTCGCTAAACTTGGTCCTTCAATGTTTAATAATATAGATGCTATTGAATCTTTGCCTACTTTGCTTAAGTATAATTGAACTGTATTATAGAGAGAGATCAGATCTTCTAGAGTTTTTAATGATCGAGGTCTGTTGATGTCGTTTGGATAGCATTTTGCTTAAGAATCCTGTACGATTTTCAGTTGATCTTTGATGAATCTTAATTTGACAACAGTTTGGACAGCATTGTGATTGATCACGTGTCGGCCTAACAAAGCATTGTTGATCTTGAGTAATTAGTTAGAACAAAGTACGATGAATAAATCTAATCAAAAGATCTTAAAAACAACAGCAGCCAATTTAAATTTTTCCTAATTCTCATCAAACTTGTCTTAAAGTTCGACGACATTTTTCCCATTACAAATATTGAAGTTTATCTATCAAAACCCAAATAAAAGGAGGTTGGCACCAAACTATTTATTAATATAAGCGTATTTTTTTAATTAATAAACACACCCACTAAATATAAATTTACTCATCATCATAATGTCCAACGAGTACTAGTGCATTAAATAACAAATTAGACACACACAATCATACACCACTCAATTGACAAACTCAGCAGCAGTCCTCTTCTAAATTTTTGTTACTTGTGCATAGACGAAACGATCGTTTTTCACTTACCTGTAAACATTCAGAGGTGCGTGCCTTGCCACAGCAACGATCACCATCCTCTTGACGTTCGAAACATGCAAACATGTGTTGTTCATCACTTTGGCGGCAGGCATTGATCAATTCACCGGTAGACGATGATGTTACACAAGCATTGATGCAGCGCGGTGAAACACCCAAATCACAACAACTACGACCGGACCACTGATAACTTTTACGAGCGGCTGTAATAGAATGAAAAAATAAGTTTATGAAAATTAGAGAAATGTTAAAAAAATAGAAATTTATTTGCAAACAGAGAAATGCAGGAGAGATAGATGGAGGGAGAGTGAGAGGGGTTGTAGAGAAAACTAGAGAAATTCCCTGTCAAGCTGGTATAATTTGTGTGTTTTAATTTTTCTTCTCATTTTATGTTCATTTTTTTGTGTTTGTGTTGAGTTTATATGTAAATTGTCATTGTAATTGATGACAGGCAATTAGATTTAAGTTTGTGTCTATGACAACGATCATTTTAAAGTGGCTCTTTATTTTTGTTTACTGTTGTTGTCGTTGTTGTTGTTGTTATCATTCCGCCATTTGTTTGTATACATTTGTGTGTCACACAAATAAATCACAATTTCAATTGATTATAGTACGTTGAAAATTAAAGTACAAGTGCCATCCATCCAGACAACCAGTCATTCTGTCTGTTAGTCGGTCCGGTCGTTCAGCCAAATACCCAGTCAACTGGTTGCAAGTGTTTTTTCGTTACAAGTGGGCGTTTGTTATTTTCTCTCTTACAAGTGTTCAATTTCATTAGTTCATTCGCTAGATTTGCATGTGTGATTGGATAATCTGGATGTTAAATTGTAAAGGAGACTCTATTAAATGTGAATTATGAATGAAGTATTGTCAATGTATTACATTTTAAGTAAATGTATTTAGTTTCTATATAAAGTTTTTTTAAAATGAAGTTGACAGGCGACTATGGCAGGTGATAATCAACAGTGAAGAGGAGTATTTTATATGAGATCGATATTGTTTGGCAAAGAAAAAGCTTTCAATTATCGGAATGAGTTGAAAAGGGTACAACTTTTGATATGTCATAGGAGTTTCAAGAGGCGTATGCTTTTTGGTAAATAGTATGAGTAATAAGGCTGACGAATATTTTCTGCAGATTCTCTATATCAATCAAGGACCAAAGGATGCCTTTGTATCGTTAAGAGTTTCTTCGGAAGATTCTGTACACTGATCATATGTTTGTTTTTTGATGGCTGCGTCCACGTTGCCCAAGCTTAGATGAAAGTGCTGATAATGATTGTGGAAACGAGAGAATTTTTCGATTCTATTGCAGAGTAAAAACAAAGAAATTTAAAATTTATGGGTGATTCTACATTTCCCGAGCTTTGACGAAGATGCTGACATTGATCATATGTTTGTTTTATGGCTGCTTCCACGTTGCCCAAGCATAAACGAAATCATGATTATGGAAACGAGACAATTCTTTGATTCTATTGCAGTGTAGAAACAAAGAAGGGAGTATCATGGGTTTGTAATTTGATGGATGACTCTGCATCTTCCGAAGTTAGAAGAAGATGCTGATAATGACTGTGCCTATACGTTGTCGATGCTTAGATGGAAGTGCTTATAATGTTTGCGGAACCAAGACAATTCTACGGATTACAGGTTGGATATTACCCGAGCTTAGACGAAAGTGCTAAAACAAGACAATTCTTCTTACAGTTATTTTCACCAGATTGGTCATGGGATTGTCATTTGATGGATGATTCAACTTTGCCCGATCTTAGACGAAAGTGCTGATAATGATTGCGGAATCAAGAAAATTCTTCTTCAAACAGTTTCTTCATCAGATTGATCATGGGTTTGTCATTTGAAGCGTGATTTATATTGCCTGATCTTAGCAGAAAGTACTGATAATGATTGCGGAAACAAGTTAATTTTTTTAAGAGTTTTATTTTCATATATATTGTCCGACCTTAGAAGATTGTGCTGATAGTGTTTGCGGAAACAAGACAATTCTTCTTCCAGTTCTTTTCAACAGATTGATCATGGGTCTGTCATTTGATGGGGTGGTTCTACCATGACCGAGCTAAGGAGAAAGTGTTGATAATCATTGGGAAGACAAGATAACTCTTCTATCAACATATTGTTAAGATTTTTTTCGATTTGTTCTCTGCATTGATCACGGGTATGCCACCGATTCTTTACAAAGATCATGGTTTCATGGAACCAAGACAAATCTTCCATTCATATCAATCTTTAATTACAGTGCTCGAACTGAGAATATTGAGATTGATCAGGGATCTATGAAATTCCTTTCGTTCACTAAGACTAGGATGTTTCTGTAAGAGATTTTCTATCATGGGTTTGTCATTTAATTGATGTTTCTGTCTTTTACGAGCAAAAGAGGCCTACGGATCCAAGACATTTCTTGTCAAGAACATTTCTTGTTGAGCTTAGAAAAAGGAATCGTCCTGTTAAGTTTGGAAATCCGAAGCATTCACCGTTTCTGCATTGAGTCTGTCATTAAGTTATTCCCTATATCGATCATGGTTTTGTTAATCGTTATATCAATGAAGTGTCTGTCAATTGGTGGAGTCCTTAATATTGGTTGGATTAAAACGGTATCGTATAAGGCTGTCAGGCACAAGATATTTCTTAGTAAAAGAGAATAACTATCATGGATTTGTCAACTGGTGGATACTACGTTAAGGCTAGTGGAAACTAGGATGGAAGTGTCGCTAATTTCTCAATGGGATTCAAACCTCAACAATGAAAAATTAACTAGGGCAACTATTAGGGGTAAAGGCGTATTCGAATAGGTGGAAATAGTGATAAAGATAATGGAAAAGATCGTAATATTGTAAATATCGAGTCTCTCAGAAAAAACACCTCTCTCTATAAGAAACGTTCAAATTTTTATATTTAGAACTAGAATACGTCCCTTGTCTAACCAATCTATTAACAATTACCATATATTTTTGCTATAGTTGTTGTTTATTTATCTAACTATTAGCAATGGCTATTAATTGGAAGTTTTTATAGGAAATTTTTGGGATTTTAAATAAACATTTGTCTAAAGTAGACATTATTTTCACAATTTGGCATAATGCCCATGCTACACTTGCATTGGCCATGTTTTTCATGTTTTTACACAAATAATTTTATGCATTTTTCATTATTTGTCACATTTTAAGTTTATAGTCAAATATTTAGTAAACTTTTTATGATTTTAAATAGCTTAATTATAGAAAACAATGTGTCTTTTAATAGTGTCTATAGGTACTTAACAAATATTTATTATAAGAGGATCAAGAATATGATCTTTTATTGAAATTTAATGAAAGAAATAATAATACTTTATTACTCATTTAGTAATTTTCTTTTTTAAAAAACTCTCACGTTTTAGTTTATTTCTCTTAGTTGTAAAGAAATAAGATTTTCAAAAATGCCCTTACCTTCTATAGTTCTATTCATACAACTCCAGAACTCCAATTGCATAGGAGGGCAATATTTTTTCAATTCCGAACGCATTGCAGGAGGAGATAATTTGACCAGAGATAACTGTAATTAGAAGAAAAGAAAAGGATTATTAAACAATTATTTCTAAGAGGAAAATAATATAAATTTTGATTAAAATTAAGGTTATTTTATAGATCAATTAAAGCTATATATGGTTTATATAATAGATTGAATATGGACATACTACAGTCTATACTCTGCAGAAACTATAGTCTATAGTCTCTGGACAGACATTAGTCTATATTCTTGAAAGACTAGAGTCTATACTCTGGACAGACTATAGTCTATACTCTGGACATACTATAGTCTATACTCTGGACAGACCATAGTCTATACTCTGGACAGAATATAGTCTATAGTTTGGACAGACTATAGTCTTTACTTTGGACAGACCATAGTCTATACTCTGGACAGAATATAGTCTATAGTTTGGACAGACTATAGTCTTTACTTTGGACAGACTATAGTCTATACTCTGGACAGAATATAGTCTATAGTTTGGACAGACTATAGTCTATATTCTGGACATACTATAGTCTATACTCTGGACATACTATAGTCTATACTCTGGACAGACCATAGTCTATACTCTGGACAGACTATAGTCTATACTCTGGACAGACTATAGTCTATACTCTGGACATACTATATTCTACAATCTGGACAGAGTATAGTCTTTACTTTGGACAGAATATAGTCTATAGTTTGGACAGACTATAGTCTTTACTTTGGACAGACTATAGTCTATACTCTGGACAGACCATAGTCTATACTCTGGACAGACTATAGTCTAAACTCTGGACGGACTATAGTCAATACTCTGGACAGACTATAGTCTATACTCCGGACAGACTATAGTCTATACTCTGGACACACTATAGTCTATATTCTGGACAGACTATAGTCTATTATACTCTGGACATACTATAGTCTATAATCTGGACATAGTATAGTCTTTACTTTGGACAGACTATAGTCATTCCTTTGACAGATTATAGTCTATAGTTTGGACAGATTATAGTCTATACTCTGGACAGAATATAGTCTATAGTTTGAACAGACTATAGTCTATAATGTCAACAGACTATAGTATATACTCTGGACAGACTCTAGTCGATATTCTGGACAGACTATAGTCAATACTCTGGATAGACTATAGTCTATACTCCGGACAGACTATAATCAATACTCTGGACAGACTATAGTCTAAACTCTGGACGGACTATAGTCAATACTCTGGACAGACTATAGTCTATACTCCGGACAGACTATAGTCTATACTCTGGACACACTATAGTCTATACTCTGGAAAGACTATAGCCTATACTCTGGACATACTATAGTCTATACTCTGGGTAGACTATACAGAATATAGTCTATAGTCTGGCCAGACTATAGTCTATACTCTGGACAGACTCTAGTCTATAATCTGGACAGACTATAGTCTGTACTCTAGAAAGACTATAGTCTATACTCTGGAAAGGCTATAGTCAATACTCTGGACAAACTATGGTCTATACTCAGGACAGATTATCTATCGTCTATACTTTGGACAGTGTATAGTACATACTTTTATAACAGTTAAACATTCAACATTTAAATTCAACGGTCGCAACAGGTTGCACCCCTGTACAAGTACATGTTTATCAAACAGTTGCTTCAAATCTAACTTGTTTGCTGCAACTTGTTGTCAGACATGTTTGCTTTTGCTTCATCCAACTTATTCGTTTCATTTCACTGTGCTCACTCTTTCTCTCTCTATATTTTTACACATTGCTTTGTTCCTTTAACCATTACGTTTCTTATCATTTCATACAAATATTGTTGTTTTTGGTTTCTTTTTGTATTTATTGTTATTGATCTTACTAGAACGATTTGTATAAGTACAACTATTTAGTATTTTACTAATTTCTAAGATTTGTTTTTTTTAATTTGTAATTTTATTTTATGGGATTTTTGTTTTCCTTTACACAAGTGTTTGTTAGAGAGAGGTGCGTCTTCTTGGGTTGGTGGTTGTTTGCTGTGTGATTGTTTTAAAAATTTATTCTAAGAATTTGTTTAGTTTGTTTATTACTAACTCCTGTTGTGTTGTGTTTATATTTATTTGTTTTATACTTTTCTTTATAGCCGATGTGTTAAGAATTTTTAATTAAGCCACAACAAGAAATATATAAATTTTTAAGGAATATTATATTATTTTTCAATTCAATATTGTATTGCTATGGTTTTTTACCTAATAGATATATTTTTATGATTTTATTAGAAAAAACTTAAATTCATAGAATAACAAATATGATGGATGATTAACCACAATTTTAAGTAATAGTAAACAAATAATTAATATTTCTAGCATAATGTTTAAAGAAAACATAAACAAAAGAAAACAATTTTGACACTTTGTTTTCACCGTTAAACGGAAGTTTATGGCTCCTCTTTAAATGTTAGCAAACAACGTTTTCCATTGACCACCTTTGTGTGGTAGTTATTAACCCTCCATAAAAATTATGAATATATTTTTGTTGTACGTATGTTCATAAATAAATTACTCAATTACCATAAATATTATCAAGCCTAAAAATCGCCTCCATGTGTTTAAGTTAAGTTTTGCTACAAACTAAACTTTGTACTGCTGTGGTTGTTTGATGGAGTAGAAGACAACGTCATATTGATTGTATGCGCAAGCGCGCCGTACTTTGCCACTGAACAAACATTGGGTTGAAAGAATCTTTGAGTTTAAATCATTTATGTGTAGTGGTTTGTTATGGTGTTTTGTTGTTGTGGTAGCTATAAGAATGCAAATTTCCCAGCAAACGTTTGTTATCAATCTTCTCTTGAAAAGCCGTATTATAGTCTATGCTCTAAACAGACCAAAGTCTCTACAGATTATAGTCTCTACTCTGGACAGACTATTATAGTCTCTACTCTCTACAGGCTATAGTCTCTACTCTGGACAGGCCATAGTCTCTACTCGGGACAGACTATATCTATACTCCAGACAGACTATAGTCTATACTCCAGACAGAGTTTATTATGTACTCTGGGCAGACTATAGTCTATACTCTGGACAGACTATAGTCTATACTCTGGACAGACTATAGTCTATACTCTGGACAGACTATAGTCTATATTCTGGACAGACTATATTCTATAGTCTAGACAGACTATATTCTATAGTCTGGATAGACTATAGTCTATACTCTGGATAGACTATAGTCTATACTCTGGACAGACTATAGTCTATACTCTGGACAGACTATAGTCTATTCTCTGGACAGACTATAGTCTATACTCTGGACAGACTATAGTCTAAGCTCTGGACAGACTATAGTCTATACTCTCGACAGACTATAGTCTATACTCTGGACAGACTATAGTCTATACTCTGGACAGTCTATAATCTATACTCTGGACAGACTATAGTCTATACTCTGGACAGACTATAGTCTATACTCTGGACAGACTATAGGCTTTACGCTGGAGAGACTATAGTCCAGACAGATTATAGTCTATAATACAGACAGACTATATTATGTATTCTGGGCAGACTATAACAGTCTATACTCCAGACAGAGTTTATTATGTACTCTGGGCAGACTATAACAGTCTATACTCTGGACAGACTATAGTCCATACTCTGGACAGACTATAGTCTATACTCTGGACAGACTATAGTCTATACTCTGGACAGACTATAGTCTATACTCTGGACAGACTATAGTCTATACTCTCGACAGACTATAGTCTATACTCTGAACAGACTATAGTCTAGACTCTGGACAGACTATAGTCTATACTCTGGACAGACTATAGTCTATACTCTGGACAGACTATAGTCTATACTCTGGACAGACTATAGTTTATACTTTGGACAGACTATAGTCTATACTCTGAACAGACTGTAATCTATACTCTGGACAGACTTTGGTCTATACTTCACACAGACTATGGTCTATAATCCAGACAGACTATGGTCTATACTCCAGATAGACTATAGTCTCAACTCTCTACAGACTCTCTACAGTTATATACTCTGGACAGACTATATTTTATACTCTGGACAGGCTATGGTCTATACTCAGGACAGACTATAGTCAATACTCTGGACGGACTATAGTCTATACATTGGACAGACTATAGTCTATACTTTGGACAAATTATAGCCATTACTCTAGACTGCACACTTGATGGTCTATAGCCTATATTTTAAAACAGACTCTCAACATCCTACAGTTTATTTTTTTACAATCTAATTCAAATCCCTTCTGTCCCATTTAAGTTCCACTGTTTGCTGGGTTATTTTCATATTTAGCTACTCCCATACCTAGTACATGTTGCTTGTGTTAAGCATTAAATTTTTTCGATATATTTTTTTTGTATTTATATAGTTTTGTACAACAGGCGCCGTTTAACATGTTAAGACATTTTTAAAATTGCTACCATTTAAATCTGCATACACGATTAATGATTAAACACTTTATAAAATAATATTAAATAACAGCTGGCAAAGTATATGTAGAAAAAAAACTAAACCTCTAAAAAAAAAGTTTGATACAAAATTAAAGATTTAAAATTTTGTAATCTTATAAAAGTAATTAAAATTCTAGGCCATTTACCCCTTTAGTTATACAGTGGCTTAAAATTTTTAACATCAAAGAGTTTTATTTGAAATTTATTAAAAATTTGTTTATGACCACAAAGTTTTACGTTAAATAATACTTTTAGTTCCAAACTCCTTACCATTTAAGATTCTCTGCTCTGCTGTTAGTTTAACTTTAGTTTTCAGATTAAATTTCCTCTCAACACTACAGACAAACTGCTACTACTGTCTGTAGATTAATAAGATTTTGCTGTTAAAACGTTTTAATGTCCATTAAGATTAAAAATATGTTAGTAATGGTCATAAAATTTTGTGACTTATATTTCATGATTTGTCTATTTATTTTTTCCTTTTGCTAAAATATTAGAAATCTAGTTAAATAAATTGTTAGTGCATTTAGTATTGCATAAAATTTGATTTTAAAAGTTTGAAAAAAATTTCAATA